GCCCCCCTGCAACCAAAAATAGGTGGGGCAAATAGGGGGAGTACACACACACACACACCCCCACAAACCCCACACCACGATCTGAACTGCTTGCTCCTTTATTTTCCCTTGTAATAATTTAAAAAACCAACTGTTATTTTTTATTTCCCGCTTGTTGTGTGCCCCATTTCCCGAATTTAAAAACTGTGTTTTTTAAATAAAACGCAGTTTTTTTTTTTAGCGAAGTTACTTTTTTTGCAAACCCTTTGAAAAATTTAAAAACGGGAATCACGTCAATATTTTTTCAAATATTTTTTTCCGTGAAAAGTTGATAATTTAGGCAGCCACCTTAAATTTGTAACAAATCTGTATCATACGATTAAAAATTATTGTATTTTTTTTCCTTCCTCGGGAAAACCCAAATTTAAATTTTTTTTTAAGGATTTTTTTTGGGGGTTGAAGTTTGTACAATATTATGCATTAATCCCTTTTTTAAAAAAAATTTTTAATGGGTAACCCCTATGGAAAACATTTTTACTTTTAATTTTTTTTTTGCTTGAAAAGTGAAATTTGTTAAATTAAAAATTTAATTTTTAAACTTTATTTAGTTTTTAAATTGAAATTACTTGATATAAATTAAGACACATTGTGAAAACATTTGGGATATTTTATTTTTGAAATTTTTTCACCTTCACAGGGGTTTTCTTAATTTTAAATACAGACCATGGAGCTAAAAATTTCTCCAGACGGGAGGGACCCCCACCCCCAAATTTTCATTTCCCAAAAGGTTTATGGACTGTTACATCTTTTTCCCTTCACTACTACACCTGCGCCTCTTTTTCCCGATGACGAACCCTACTGTTAGGGAAACGTTTCAACAAAAAAGTACCCAACTGTTGTACATGTGTCTTAATCTTCAACCCTTCCCGGGTTTTTTTGGCCTTATAAAACTTGGTTTAAATCCCTTTGAGACCTCTTCCCTAACCTATTATTTTTCAGTTGTTGTAACATATTATTTTTCAGTTGTTTTATTACATATTCATTGAGTGGATCACATACAGGATAAGAGGATCATTTATTCCATTTCAGAGTGTAATATTTCGTGATTTTTTTCCAAACTGATTATTGTGAACTTTTGTGTTGTATGTTGACAGTGACCTGAAACATGAAGAACGTATTGTTCTCTCAACATAACTGTTTATTGTCACTGTCTGCTGTTCTCTCAACATAACTGTTTATTGTCACTGTCTGCTGTTCTCTCAACATAACTGCTTATTGTCACTGCTGTTCTCTCAACATAACTGTTTATTGTCACTGTCTGCTGTTCTCTCAACATAACTGTTTATTGTCACTGTCTGCTGTTCTCTCAACATAACTGCTTATTGTCACTGCTGTTCCTCTCAACATAACTGTTTATTGTCACTGTCTGCTGTTCTCTCAACATAACTGTTTATTGTCACTGTCTGCTGTTCTCTCAGCATAACTGTTTATTGTCACTGTCTGCTGTTCTCTCAGCATAACTGTTTATTGTCACTGTCTGCTGTTCTCTCAACATAACTGTTTATTGTCACTGTGTGCTGTTCTCTCAACATAACTGTTTATTGTCACTGTCTGCTGTTCTCTCAACATAACTGTTTATTGTCACTGTCTAGTGTTACTTTGTTCACTGTCCCACGATGACACATGAACTTGATAGATCACACAAAGTCAACTGTTCTTCCTCTCAGTCGAGCTCACAAAGTCATCCTTACACTGATAATGTGACACCTTAATTCTTAATCGGTTAGAATTCAGTTAGATCACAGCTTGCTTGTATGACAGAAGGTTTGCTAAGATAAATACTTCAATAAATACATTCACAATGTTTAGCTCTGATTAATATTTCAGTAAATCCACGCACAAATAACTAGCACAGTATTGTGCCTTTTGTTCTTTAGTAAATCCATTCACACTAGTTAGCTCAGAGTAACATTTCAGCCAATCCACTGACATCCAGAATAATCTCTAGCGACCATCTCTCACCTACGATGGAAATCCCAAATTCTTGGAGACAGTTTCCATCCCTGAAAATTTTCACTTAGGATAAATACAAGAACCCAAGTTATAATTATTATATCCGTCAAACCGTCACTTTTAGTAGTAAAAGTTGCAGGGGGCAAACCTTCAGAGAGTTGGACGAGATTATTGTAGACATGATTTTATTGCGAAGGCTGTGTTTACCTGACAAGGAAATGTTATTTTGATATAATGATGCGAGGAACTAGTGTTTTGGAGGTTCGTCTACGTTTCTCAGTATATTTTCTTGATCTAAAGAAGTGGAAACTATCCTTCCCTTCCTTACCTCAAACCTGTTTTACTTCTTATTGCAATGTGTGTATTTCTCCAATAGGTTTACGTTTCCTAAATAATTTCTAATAATAATAATAATAGGTGTGGGGGCAAGTGGTGTTGAATGTAAATTTATGAAGAGATTCGGGGAAAACCCGGTTACCCAGACTGAGTCAGAGCTGAGAATTGAGAA